GTGTGACCAAAAAAAAAACAGTGACATTTTCAGTTACTACAAATACAATGAAGATAGAATGAATGACAGATTCCTGATTTAGAAACTTTTTTTATATATAAAATTATAAAAATTCAACAATTGCTGATTCTCTCTTTTACATCAACCCTTAAAGAAAGGGTAGGAGGAGAATCTTGATTCAATGCCCTAAATTCACAGCTTCAAGAACCAAAAATTGAGAGCTTTTTTGGGCAAAAACAAACTAGACTTGTTTTTTTTTTGTTTCTTTCAGTTTCACCTTGTTGAGTGTCTCAAGCTACACTTCCTTGGTCTGAGGTTTCTTCGTTGTAGTAAGGTGTTAACTTTCCATCCTTATCGCCTCCTCTTGTCTTGCTTTGGCTTTCGTCGTCTCCACCGCCGATTTCTAGCAACATCTTAACCACGCGTCTCATCGAGGGCCGGTTAATAGGCAACGGACTCGTGCAGAGAAGGCCAATGTTGAGTATTTTGCTTATTTCTTCTTTGAAAGAAGAATCGAGTTTCGGGTCTATCACATGTTCGACGCCTTTCTGGTCCAATGTCGTGCAAACCCATTTCACCAAATCTTTCTCCCCCAGTTCTGGAGCATTCGGGCGTTTCCTAGTCACTATCTCAAGGATCACTACCCCGAAACTATAGATGTCGCTCTTCTCGTTCACACGAAGCGTGTATGCATATTCTGCAAGAAGTTTGAAATAAGGAGTTATGGAGGGAAACAAAACAGACAAACAAAACTTTCAAAATTACATTAATGGATAAGTGACAAAGTGTGGAGCCATCATGATTCAGACATCTCTCAATAGATAGTGAATGCTCATTTAAGTCTTGCAACTAATAAATCTTAAATGTAGTACATGTGAATGTCCAATGCAACATATGTACTAACTCTAAACCTTTTACTAATTAAGTAATTATTAATCAACATAATACTAACCTGGTGCGATATAACCGCATGAACCAGCGATCACCGACATCGACTTGGGAGCTTTTCCGGTCAAGTCTACTACTTTAGCCACTCCGAAATCAGCAACTCTTGCACCATAATCTCCATCAATCAGAATATTGTTAGACTTGACATCTCTATGCACAATCGGAGGAACACAATCGTGGTGAAGATACGAAAGTCCCTCGGCCGCGTCTAAGATAATCTTAAACCTTGTTTGCCATCCCAACATTCCTCCTTTACTGCTATGAAGCAAATCTCCCAAGCTACCATTAGGCATGTACTCGTAAACCAAGAGTTTGCAATCTCTCGTTGTGCAGCAACACCATAGCTTCACAATGTTCTTATGCCTAATCTTACCCAATGTTTCGACTTCAGCCTCAAAGGCCTCGTCTTGAACTCGAGGTCTTTCGCCTTTCTCTGGATCAGAATCTCCTGTTTCTTTAACGGATCCTGTCCATAAACGCTTAACAGCAACAGTTTCTCCATTGGTGAGTACAACTTTGTAAACTTTACCCGAAGCTCCAGCTCCGATCACGTTGTCTTCATCAAGGCTTTCGAGAATCTCGTGCTCGCTGAATCCTAGTTTGTGGAATGACATTAGAGTCCATTTCGATTTCTCCACAGCTCTAGCTTTCTTGAAAGTCCTATACTTGAAGTAGAACCAAGCAACTCCCGCAACAAGTACCAATGCCGCAAGCACGAAAATCGATCTTAGAAGCCATTGATAGCCTTTCTTCTTAGATTCTTTCTCAGAGCTACACAATCCTTTGATAGCCCCGCATAATCCCGGGTTCCCAAGGAAGCTGTTCTTGTACATTTCTTTTGCTAAAGAAGGCGGTAAGTCACCGGATAACCGGTTATTCGACAGATTCAGCTGGTTTAGCTTCAAATTCTGCAAAGAAACCGGAATCTCGCCAGAGAAAAGGTTACCTGAAAGATCAAGATAGTTCAAGACAGACAAACTACCGATTTCGTCGGGAATCCTACCGGAAAATCGATTATCAGCTAAGTTTAACTCGTTTAGCTTCTTCCATGACTTGATTCGAGGAGTTAACTCGCCGGAAAACCGGTTTCCCTGAAGATCAAGAGTACCTAATTCTCCAAGATTCATCAAACTATCAGGCAGAGAGCCACTAAACTTGTTTCCACTTGCCGACAACTGATTAAGATTGTCCAAAGACCCAATTTCCTCCGGCAGAGGTCCGGTGAACTCATTGTTCGAAAGAATCAACAGCGAGAGATTCGACGCGCCTCCAATGGTATTCGAAATCTCACCGGAAAACGAATTGTTGATAAGCTCAAGCAAGTAAACATGAGGCAATCCCCAGAAACCGGTAGGAACTTGACCGGAAAACCGGTTATACGCTAACCGGATTCTGGTTAAGCTCCGGCAATCACCAAGACTCTCCGGTATAACACCGGAGAAGGAATTGTGTATAATCAACAACTCCTCTAGCTCACCTTTCTCGCACAGATTCGCCGGTAACTCGCCGGAGAAATCGTTTTCCGATACATCCAGCCATTTCAACGGCGAGTTTCGACCAAGGTCTCTCGGTAACTCGCCGGTTAACCGATTTCCGAAGATCCTTAGCTCGTACAAGTTCGGAGACAGAGCTATACTCGCCGGAATCTCACCTTCGAGATTGTTCTCGTAGAGATTCAAACTCTCCAACGGAACACGGCAAAGCTCGTCCGGTATCTTTCCGGTTAACTGATTCATCGACGCGTCGAGAAGTCTCAACGATTTCAAATTCCCGAGCTCCGACGGGATTTCTCCGGTCAACGAGTTGTTGTAAAGCTCAACCTGAACGACGCTGGTCAAACCGCCGAGCGAACGAGGGATAGAACCAATCAGATCGTTAAGCGCAAGGTCTAAATCAACGAGTCGAGTGAGTCTACCCAGCGAGTCAGGGATCTGTCCGACTAAATTACACTCGGTAAGCCACATAACCTCGAGATTCGTTAAGTTTCCGAGCTCCGGCGGGATCCGACTCGGACTAAACGGGTTATAAGACAGATTCAGCATCTTCAACGAGCTGATGTTTCCTAGAAACGGCGGAATCGTCCCGTCTAAGAGATTGTAAACCAGAGAGAGAACCTCAAGGTTTTCAAACCGGCCGAAACTCGCCGGAATGTCGCCGGAAAAGTTGTTCCCGGTCAAATCTAGGGTCGTTAAAGTAGGTAGATCTGCGAGAGTGTGTGGGAGCTCTCCGGTGAGGAGATTCTGAGAGAGATCGAGAGTTTGGAGACTCGAACAAGACGAGATATTGAGTGGAAGCGTGGAGTTGATTGAGTTGTTGTAGAAGGAGAGGTATGAGAGATTAGCGAGACGACAAATGACGGAAGGGAAAGGTCCGGCGAGATTAGCACTGGAGAGATCAACGGAAGTAACTGAAGAGAAATCTCCGGCGCAAGAGACGCCGGACCACCGACATGGAGTAGCGTCGTTTGAGTTCCATGAGGAGAGAGATGAGTCTGGGTCGTCGAGAGAGCGCTTGACTTGCTGAAGAATGAAACCTTCTTGGTTGAGAGAGAAGACGACGGGGAAAAACAGGAAGAGAAAGAGAAGATACATAGTTGCCGGCGGTGAAGATACGGCGGAGAACGGTGGTTTTGTGTGTTGG